TCCAAACAAAATACACAAAAAAATTCGCTGCATTTGGACTCCGTTTGGTATTGATTTCTTGCGATGTAAAAACATGCAGAAAACAACAACTGGCACTTGGCACTATGTCAATAGGTTAGTAGCAAAAAATGATATAAAATGACTATAAAATGATTATAAAACATCCAAGAATGATAACATAACAGAATGGAACAATCAAAAATTATAGATACGTTGGAGACGTATCACCTAGTAGGCCTCCTCCTCCTCCTCCTCCTTCGACTTGACCGGGGACGGGGGGATGCCGGGGTTGACCTGCACGCCGTGGAGGCTCTCCTCCTCATGCTCCAACATGAACCAGACCTCCCAGTTGGGAGAGCCCGACACATATGTACAGAGAAGGCGCTACTCTAGCGTAAGGTGCTCGCGGCGTCTATGCACCTCCTCAGCGTACGCCCCCGACGAGTGCAACACCACCAGAATCGGCATGCACTACGGGTCCAGATGCTAGTCGTGCGACAGGCTAACATCTTGGTACGGCAGGGGATGGCGGTACTGACAATGCCACCGTACCTGGTGGACTGGGATGTCGGACTCTCCACGGATGACAATGCCCGCCGCGTCAATGAGCCGGCCGCGGAGGAGGAGGCGTGTGGGACGAGCTCCCCCTGGGGTAGAACTTCCCCTTGCCATTGTTGCTGAAGAAGCCCATGGCAAGCTAGGGTTTGGATGCCGCCGACGAGGGGGCAAAGCTAGGCTAGATGTGGACAGTGGGATGGAATTGGATGAGGCCCCCATGCTACTTGTGAGCTGCGTTGGGATTTCCTCGAAGAGGAGAGAATGATGCAGTACAATAGAGATAAGTATTTCCCTCGGTTAAGAACCAAAGTTATCAATCCAGTAGGAGAACCAAGCAACAAATGTTACAAACGACAGGAAACAAATAGATTCAGAGTTAATCATGACATATTAAGTATTACAAACAATGGGAATCAAACAGTCTTGAGCAGGTTTATCATGCATTCAACAGTATTACAAATATAATCGTACTGTACATAGGAAGGAGATCAAACCAGTGTTCGCCAGTCTGCCACGGCTCAAGTTGATGAGGTTCATCATGTCTTCACCGCTAGAAAACAACAGTGTCATGCAAGGACCAAAATCAACCACCCGGGCGAGTTT